TGCTCACCGCTTTATTCAAAAACTTATATTCTTAACACGAGTGTGACTGATTTGCTAAACTCTGGAACAACACTAAGCTCGGAATGACGATACTTGTGAAGAAGTTTTGGACTCATACACGAGGTGCCAGCCGGCCACAAGCACTTATTGTACATGAATATACTGCAGGTATTTAAACTTATTTAAAAAAAATCCACAATTAGTCAAAGATTTAAATGTATTAAAGCATTTTCAGTTTATAGATCATATTCAAGTTTGTTCAAATCATAACCTTTTTAATTAATTTTTGTGTGAAATTTAATTATTTGTGTGAAACTCTTTGATATATAATTTGTGATTTTGATTCGGTGAAAATATTAATTCAAATCATTGAAAAAACTTAATTGGTTCATTCTTTCATAAGCATTTTTGATCGGATAAATATTTGATTTACCATCATTCCTACTAGAAAAATCTGTAACAAAGTGTCCTCCATTTTCATTTAGATGTTCTTCCTCGCAGCTTTCGCACAAGGCTCTATTACAGACGCCACAGTACCGTCTCACCCCATTTATACGACAAAGAGAGCATATAATCACGTCTTGGGCGGTAGTGGCCATTATAGAACATTCCAAAAATGAAAACAAAAACAAAAAAAATCTATAAAACTGTAAAATATATTTCTAAGTTAGCAATCCTTCTTGCGAAAAAATATCATCATTTCATAAGTAGGCCCTAGAACTTACCTTGTAATTTTCCCTTGTAATTTTTCTGCAAATATTTTTTCACTTTCTTTTTTAAATCTCAGAAAACCTAGTTTTTGTTTAAACAGAAACATGCGGGACAACATGAAATACTTAAATTTAAGTGAGCATCAAGTCTGGATATTAAACTGCGTGGGCAATTTTCCAAAATATTTGTTTGCAATCTAGTGAGTTAAGGCTAAATATGGGCTTTTCTATGCAAATAAGCTAATAAAAATGCATAATTTGTATTATGACTTCATAGTTCTTTCCCACTGAAGGTAATAAAACACATCAACAAAACAACGTCGGCGCAAGGGCATATCCTATTTAATTTAAAATAAATACCGGTAATGTTTAATACTAAGGAGAATATTCTTAAAAGTAATAAAATTGCCGCACAAATCCTATGCTCTTCTTCAAACGATAAAAATTTCACTAAACTTACACTGGACTTTATAAAAAATCATTACATTTAGATATGAGATTTTTTAATTGAAAAAGCTACGCGTTTACATGTACCGCGCTAAAAACAAGAGTATTCCATGCAACTCTCAAATAAAACCTAACAATTTATTTTATGATCATGAAATAATATTATACCACCATTCTTCCGTAACATAAACAATGTGAACAATTATTTATTAATGAATTAGTTTTGAATTTATAAACAAGTTATTAAAAGAGTACATTTATTTTAAAAATAAGTTTTTCTAAATTCTAAATAAGATTTAGAATTGTGATTTATTTCTATTTTTGTTTTGCTTGTGTTTACCTGGCCGATAATGTGTATAAATAAAAGGCTGCATTTCATTTCCGGAAATTTTGGTAATTATCAACTTTTCATTTCCGAAATTTTTTTGTTTTCATTTCCGACATTTTTCAAATACATATGTAGTACCTATAGTACCAGATTTGATAACTTTACTTATGAAAAATTTAAAGGAAAAAATCATAAATAAATCATTGTAATCTAATTTTGTTAATATTTCGGTGACTTGGACATAAGTATGGTGCTGTCACTGAAATTTAATTTTATGCAGATTAAATGTGGTGAAAAAGTTTTATATTGAACGCTTTTACCTAGACTTAGTGCTACGTGTTTATGTATAGATGTTTTTTCTTTATTTTTTATTAATATTTTGGTATAAATACCTTTAAAATTCCATTTTCTTTTACTTAGAAATCATTGAATTGCCGCACAGGTAAATTCCGGAAATGAAAAAAAACATGTCGGAAATGAAAACAAAAAATGTCGGAAATGAAATTAAAAAAATGTCGGGAATGCTATGCATATTTCAGGAAATAAAATGCAGCGAAATAAAATGGTTTCAACACCTGCGGTTTCAATCGCCTTTGGGCAGAAAATCAATCATGCATGTTATTTGGGTACACGTATTAGTGTTACACATCATTGAACATGCTGCTCAATAATGACCCTAATTTCAATCTGTGTAGTGCAAAAAAAATTGATAATTGAAATGTGTATAAATTTCTTTCAGGATTAATTAATTTTGAACATAATCTGAGGGTTCCATTCTGATGATTCACAGATGTTCACTCATACATTTACAAATAAAACACTTACATAAAAACTGAGTATTATAGGGCTAGAGAACTTAACAATAATCAAATTGACATGTCAGTCAAAAGAATCATGACTGAAAATAATTAATACTTGGCAAAATTAACAAAGAATTTTTCAAAAGCCCCAATACTTAAGTAAATGCCTTTAGAGCATCCAGAAAGTATGGAAATTGGCCATGGTCTATAATTATAAGATCTACTTAAAGCTAATTCTTGTGAAAAATAATCAATTCAAGTTTAATTTTCTGTTTTAAAAAAATAAATATGGGAACCAGTATCAATCACAGGGAAAAAAAATGAATTTTTAAAATACCAGATAATTGTGATTTATTATTCATGTTCAGTGAAATTCATTTATGTACATGTATTCTTTGGGGAAAGACATTTCATTGAAAATACCAACAACTTTGACCTTTTGACCTTGACCTTGAAGATTTCCGTACTTATTAAAAATATTTAACTTTGGCCATAATTTTTGAACGATAAGGGCTAGGGCTTTCATACCTCACATATGTAATGAATGTGAGAAGACCTTTCATCTGATACCAAGAACTTTGGCCTCGGAGTTTGACCTACTTTTAAAAAACAAACCTTGACTGTAACTTTTGAAGGGTTAGGGATAGGACTTTCAAACATCACATATTTAATCCTTGTGATAAGACCTTTCATTGGAAATCATGAACTTTGACCTTGTGACCTTAGAGTTTGACCTACTTTTTAAAAACTTTAACCTTAGTCATAACTTTTGAACGGACAGGGCCAGGACTTTCATACTTCACATATATAATACTTGTGACAAGACCTTTCGTAAGAAACCAACAACTTAGACCCTTTGACCTTTGAGCTTGACCTACCTTTCAAATAATTATCCTTGACCATAACTTTTGAACAAGTGGTGCCAGGGCTTTCATATTTCACAATTGCATTTCTTGTGAGAAGACCATACTTTTGGTACCAATACATTTAATTTGAAATTAAGAAAACTTTAATCTTCGCTATGTTGCCATACGGGGTCATCAGCGTTTCACAAAAACATATTGTTCCTTATAACTTTTGATTGAGAAAGATTAGGCTTTCATATTTGACATGTGCATTACCTGTGGAAAGATATTTCCGAGCATGCTCTGATTTCTGATCCCTTGACCTTGACCTTCACGATTGACCTTATTTTTAAAAAACTAAACTTTGGTGATAATTTCTAAATGACATATGATACAATATGTCATAAAAAATGACATCCCATCCACAAAGACAGCGGAAGCGGGGGACCACAATTCTTTGAATTTGCTTGTGACAAGACCTTGCTGACTTGCTTATCCTCTTCGACCCCGATGGGACATACGGCTTCAACAAGCTGTCGCCATCTTCCTCTGTCCTTTGCCACATATACTGTGCCTGTTTCCACGATTAGCTCATTTCCTCTAATTCTTTCCTCTGTGACAAGACCTTTCACTGGTATAAATAATTTTGACCTTTATCTAAGAGTTTTGCCCACTTTCTAAAAACCTCACATTTTCAAATTCTTCTCAAGAACCATTTTTAACCAAACTTGGTACAAAACATCCATGAGTAATGGGAAGTTTAAATTGTTAAAATGAAGGGTCATGTCCCCTTACAAGGGGAGATAATCAAGAAAAGACAAAGATAGGGTGAGATCATTAAAATCTCCTCGAGAAACCACTGGGCCAGAAAAGCCGAAACTTATGTGGAAGTATCCTTGGGTAGTGTAGATTCTACATTGTTAAAATCATGACTCCCGGGAAAGGGTAGGGGCCACAATAGGGAATTCGAGTTGTACATTGAAATACACAAGTATATAGGAAAATTCTTTTAAAATCTTCTTCTCAGGCACGTAGCATCGTTTTTGAAAGTGGGGGGGGGGGGGGGCAGCCAGACAATTTTTTTTACTTACCTGGAAAAGTTGACAAGCAAAAAAAAAAAGGGGGAAACTGCCCAAACTCGAAAATCCTATTTCGTGGGGGGGGGGGGGGGGGGGGGGGGGGGGGGGGGGCGGTAGGGGGAAATTTTTTTCAAATGCCGACATCTTAATTTTCAATACCAATTTTTTTGCATACAATACTGCATTTCCCTTATATTACTTTAACGTAGTATTGACTGGGGGAAACCTGTTGCTACATGTACGTGCCTGCTTCTCAAGATCCGCTTGGCCAGGAAAGCTGAAACTTAATATGTGGAAGCATCCTGGGGTAGTGTAGATTCTAAATTGTTCAAATCATGACCCCTTGAGGGTAGGATGGGGTCACAGTTGGAAATTCAAGTTTAACATTAAATAGGGAAATTCTTTTTTTCAAAAAAAAAACTTGTTTTAAAGAACCATTAGGCCAGAAAAACTGAAACTTATGTGGAAGCTACTTGAACTTTATTTAAAATAAAACCATTGGATATAGGTCTATACTGGTCTTCTCTGGTCCGTATATTTTCCAACAACGAAATATTTATTGTGAAACACCCTGAAGGAGAAAAAAAATATGATCAAAGGTAACGCATATTTTTGTACGGTCGTTCAGTCAACTTGTAGAATTCCTAATTTTAGACCACACCGGAAGGTTTTACGTATCACCGAGTAAATACAATACCTTGACTGGTACATATGTACATACGTACCATATTCAAACTTTGACCTCCTTAATCAAAAGGAATGCAAAACAAAACCGAGTCGTGATCGTGTAGAACTGTGGAAAGCTGCAGGCAATATAAAAGCGCTTTTATGTGAATTGGAACAGGATATGAACTTCAAAGTGTAAGTGATTGTCACATGCGGTAAAGATGGTCCTTTCTAACAATTAAGGTTTTTTTCTTGCTTTTGGGGCAATTTATTTGCATGTAAACCCGCGAGTTTGGGGGCGGGTTGTTAGTGTGATGCATTAGCAAAGGTATGTGAAGGATCCGATAAGGGATAGACGAGTGAGATGGGATGATAAGGGGAAAGAGAAAGGGGGGATATAAAGACTCTTAAGCTTAAAATCGATGGATGAATGAATATTCCAGATATCCAAAATTATATCTGTAGTTTTTTATATAATTTATGAAAATTGACATGCTTACTTTCTTTTTGAAGATGCACTAATTGTATTTCTACATTGTTGAAAGTAGGTCATGCGTGAACCCCTACCTGTTGTTTTACAAAATGAAATGGCCCAAGATTGACAATGATTTCATTAATTCTTGTAAAGAACATCGATCAACTGTTAACCTTTGAAAAGTAAGCATTCAAATCATTGTACATTTATTGAAAAAAATCTAAAGTACATGCATGTGTTATTAATCATGCGTATTGATCCGACAATCGCCCCTGACTAATTGTTGCATATTTTTAGGGCAATGCAATGAATTTTATCGATTCCTTGTGAGACTGAAATATTCAAAATTGTATGTGCATATATAGCATATTCTCCATAACATTCCTGTGCAATATTTACACGTGCATTTTTACTGATTTCGTCTGTTTCATTTTTTAGAATGAATATTTAATTATGGCAAACCAAAACCAAGAGAAGCCACCTAAAAAGTATGACATTGGTAAGAGGACGATTTTTGGAATCAGAAAGTTCGCCAACAACTACTAGTATACCGTATTATTAGAAAAATATATTAAGAAGACACGTTGCCCCGATTTTCAAAGGGGAATGAGATGTAGGGGTCCAAAGTTACTGACAAATATCTATATGTGTAAAAGAAGAAAGGTAAAATTGTTCCAACTGAAAAAAAAATATTCGACAAAAAATTTTAAAATCTATATTATGTTATTTTAATGTATTCAATATGAAAGGACACTTAATTAAAACAAAATATTTGAACATTTTCATATTAAATCATTAGTGAAAATTATTTTAAAAGAAGGAAGGGGGCTACGATCGACCTACCCCGATTGACACTGTGTGCCTGCAAAAAAGAGAAACGACAGAATTTTGGATTGGGATATACCATTATTTATACACTGAATTGAGGACAGATTTTTCCGTTCTTTCCCGATCATGACAAGGGGCACACGGCGGGTGTTACCGGTCGGCAGAGGATGCTCACTCCTCCATGGCACCTGACCCCACCTGTAATGTCTTTGGGGGTCCTATTTTGCTCTGTTCCTATTTTGTACTGTTTTATGGACTTCTGATATTGAATATTGTTCGTTATCTCCATATCCTTCATTTCTCCTTTCCAGCGAGTTTTGTGGGTGAAGAAATAGCTGAACGAAAATGTCCAAGTGGATACACAGCAAGATACATTAAGTTGTTTGGACACTGGAGACCGCTGGAGTTCATTGAAACTGGATTCGCACCTGACCCAAGGACACATGTACACGAACTCCGTAAAATGGAAGTATTTGATGATGATGTTTTTATCTACGCCTTTGCTAAGAGTGGTATGAAAATAAATTTTATATGCAGCATAAATTAGCACAGTCCTTTCAATTTTATATTTCACTTTATAATAATTTTGCCAGGGCACCTAATGAAGAACTAAAATTCTAGATTGTCCAATGTTCTCTCTCTTTTTCTCTCTCTCTCGAACTTTTTTTTTGCGATTTATGAAAATTTGTTAAACATTTTAACCGGATTTTAGAAATAACTCATGAGATTTTCTATCATCACACACATCTTGGCGGCTACTAAAAACGACTACATGTATTTCACTTATAAAGGTACTCACTGGATTTGGGAAATGATACACATGTTACACAAAGGAAAAGCTGAATACGACAAACGACCCAAAGAAGTGTCTATGCTAGAATTTCACTCGATTGACAAATTATGCGAGGAAGAAAGACCAAGAGTTTTTAATACCCATTTATTTCCCAACGAGGTACCTACTGCGTCACTGGAGGGAAAAGGGAAGGCTCTACTCTTACTCCGAAATCCTAAAGATATAGCGGTGTCTTATTATAACCATGTCAAAGACCTGAAAATCCAGTCGTCCGTCATGACATGGGAGGACTACGTACATTTATTAAATAATTATGGAGGTACAGAATTTATAATTATCTAATTTAATACAAGTAGAATGCAATATCAGATTGTGTAAAAGGGACAAACGGGGAGAGAATTTAACTACACTGACTTTGGCTGTTATAATTATCTAATTTAATACAAGTAGAATGCAATATCAGATTGTGTAAAAGGGACAAACGGGGAGAGAATTTAACTACACTGACTTTATGTCAATATTATGTCAAAAAAATTCTTGGAGGTGCTCTTGGTTCTATGAAAAGATGTCATACTTCAATGGATCAATTGTGAATGTTAACGATTCACATTACTGGGGGTATATGTGCATTCCCTTTATTACTGATTTTATAATTCTTGAGGATTTTTTTTTATCCTATGCGAGATAAATTTTATAATAAAAGACAAATTAGAAACAATGTTTTATCTAAATAAATAAATAGATTAATATTAATTTTTTGCATTTGTAGGTAGATTCGATTTTTTTGAATACGTCAAAGAATGGGAAAAAGAAATTAAGAAGAAAAAGAGGACATATTTGTGTCTACTCTACGAGGATATAAAGAAGGTTTTAACTAACATTATATAAATACATAATTTTTGCAAAAAAGGGTTTAAAGATTTTTTAATAATTGATACATTTGTACTTTATTCTATTACAATATAAATGACATATACTTGCGTATAAAATATTCGGCTATCATTAAACAAATGTATACAAGATTTTACTTCACTAAAGCATATACATGTACAGTGAAAATTGTATAATCTGGATGTTGTATTTTCTGAAATACTGTCTAAATACGATGTAAACACCTGTTGCACAACCCCGAATGTTGATTATTTAATTTAGCCAATTTCTTTGGAAACAGCACTTGGAGTCCCGAAAAGTCAAGTTTGACACCAAATATAAAATTTTACTTTTCATATAGCCAAGACTATGTATAAATAAATAAAACACAAAACACAGGACAGGTCCTAGTACATCAAGTTTGAGCGCTTGTCGGGGATGAAAATCTTTGACTTAGTGATGATGATGATGATGATGATGATGATGACCTTACGTAACATTTTTATATATTCATCAAAATAATCCACAATTATCCTAGATGTCATATTCATATCCAAAAGTGAAGTTACTCATTCTTGTACTTCATTTTCTGTAGAATCCACTTGGGACACTAAAGTCTGTAGCTGACTATCTAGGCATTCCTTGTTCAGATACTTTAGCAGAGGAAATAGTTCAGAAATGTAAGATAGAAAACCTGAGAGTCGCCAACAGAGAGAAATTTGACCACAGGAATCAAAGTGGTCCTAACCCGGAAATGAATGACCCGGATAAAATGTACAGAAAAGGTAAACTCAATTAAAATTATAGAAGATAAATTTTGAGTTCACCTTTAAATTCATTTGGATATGACAATAAATTGTTTTATAATATTGAATCTGATATTTTGTCACAATTGCGTCTCAAAATTATGAAATAACATTTTAGAAATTTCATGAAATAACCACACGTTACTTTCTGCATACATGCAAGTACAAGAGTAAATTGTTTCAGTCTTTACATTTTATCTATAGATGATGGACTTTGTATAGGCCTTGCAAAACTGTTCTTGAAAAATAAAATTGATATGGCAGATCAGCGGAGAGAAGAAATGTCCGCTGGTCTTAATGGTGGAAAATTATTTTGATACAGAAAACTTAAATTTGATTTCTCTTTCAGGAGAAATTGGAGATTGGAAGAATTGGTTCACTGTGGCTCAAAGCGAAGAGTTTGATAGAGTTTTTAAAACAAGAATGGCTGATTCAGAATTTAAATTTTCCTTTGAATAATTCAATTATATTAAAATTCTTAGCATTAAAGAACAAATGAATATAAAAACATTGAAAAAAGAAAGAAACAATAAAAGAAAAGAAAAATCTGCTTTACTTTGTCATCTCCGTAGTGTTCAATTAGATTAAACGTCGTTCCTGCAAGAAAGGTCGACTTGCAACAAATTTTCCGACATAACCTTGTGTTTTTGTCCCCCGCTTTCGCGAAAGCGAGGGGACATTAAATCTCATTCGTCTGTCTGTCCGTCTGTCCGTCAGTCTGTCCGTCCGTCACAAAAACTTTAACCTTGCCCATAACTTTTGATTTAGTGGAGCTATGATTTTCATATTTCATATGTGTATTCCTTGTGATAAGACCTTTCTTTGGGTACCACCAAATTTGACCTTTTGACCTTGACCTTGGAGTTTGACCAACTTTTACTCAAAAATTCCAAACTTTTACTTTGGCCATAACTTTTGAATGGTAGGTACTAGGACTTTCATGTTTCAAATATTTATTTTTTGGGACAAGACCTTTCATTGGATACCAACAACATTGACCTATTGACCTTGACCTTGGAAATTTACGTACTTATGAAAAAACTATAACCTTGACCATAATTTTTGAACAGTAAGGGCTATGGCTTTTATACTTCACTTAAGTTATTCTTGTAAAAAGACCTTTCATTGGATACCAAGAACTTTGACCTTTTGACCTTGACCTTGGAGTTTTAACTACTTTTTAAGAATTATAACCTTGGTCACAACTTTTGAACAGTAGATACAAGGACTTTTATATTTCACATATATATTCTTTGTGGCAAGACCTTTCATTGGATACCAACAATTTTGACCTTTTAACCTTGACCTTGGAGATTTACGTACTTCTGAAAAACTTTAACCTTGACCATAACTTTTAAACGGTAAGGGCTAGGGCTTTCGTACTTCACGTATGTAATCCCTGTGAGAAGGCCTTTCATTGCATACCAAGAACTTTGACCCTTTGACCTTGACCTTGGAGTTTAAACTTCTTTCTAAAAACTTTAACCTTGGTCACAACTTTTGAACGGTAGAAACTAGGACTATCATATTTTAAATATTTATATTCTTTGTGGCAAGACCTTACATGTGATACCAATAACTTTGACCTTTTGACCTTGACCCTAAAAAAAATATTTCGCCCACAAAGACACCGAAAGCGGGGGACCACAATTCTTTGAATTTGCTTGTTTATATAGATTTCTCAAGGCCCATTTACCGAAGGGATAGTAGTTGTACCTCTCTTAGACACCAAGAAAAAGTGTACACATGGTGTCTTTCTGAAACAGTAAAATGAACTGCAATCGATTCATTACACTTCCTGTCTTCCAAAGAACATTGAATAGTTTTAATTTTTTATATCATAATGTGTCTGAGTCATGTATTGTATATATATAAATGATTTCTCAGGGGTATTTATAAATTTGTGCATCTTTGACCAAAAGCCGCTGAAATATGAAGCCCGTTTTTTTAAGTACACGGTCAGCACTTGTTTCTGAGTGTTATATTATACAAAAAAGAAATTAAACAATACAATGAAAATTGTACAGTACAATGAAAATTATACAATACAATGAAAATTATACAATATAATTAAAATTATACAATACAATGTAATTGTACACTACAATTAAAATTATTCAAGACAAAAATTTTTTTTTTTTTAATTATACAATACATATAAACTTTCTACATTACCAATTATAAGAATTTTTACAACATAAATAGTAAGTTATAAAAACAAAAAAACAAAACAAAACAAAACAAAACAAGAAAAATTATGCAATGCAAATAAAAATTATTACAATATAAAATAAAAACTTTATTCAATATAAATTAGAAATTACATGTATGCAGTACAAATAAGAAATTATACAATACAAATAAGAAATTATACAATAAATACAAATAATTAATTATACAAGAAATTATACAATATAAAATCAATAAGAAATTATGCAATAAAAATAAGAAATTATGCTAGAAACAATCTTTTTAACCACCTGTTCATGCTTGAAGAATTGGTTACAATTGACACTAACCTACTATTATGGGGTGATAGAAATTTGCCTGTATCAATTAATACTAATATTTTTGCTGCTGTCCATAGATTTATTACTGAAACATGTAGATTTTAAATTGATTTGTAATTTAATTGCATCACTTGAAAATATTATAATTATTATATTTTAATGTATTATTTGCATGACATATTGTCAGTGTTCGAAATTCGGAATTATTTTCTGTGGGTCCAAAGGACCCACTGATTAAGGGTCTACACAAGTCCTCCCAAGGCAGCATAGGCCCAAAAATATTACCATCAAATATTTTGGAAAAATAAAATTTAATTGACAATCTTGGTAAGTTTATTGATTCCTTACCAATAAAAAAAATCATGTTATTTAACAACAAAAATGTTAATTTTACTGTAAACATACTTCTTGTTTCCTGTAACATCCCCCCCCCCCCAAAAAAAAAAAAAAAAACAGGAGCTGTCTGTATTTTTTTTTTTTTTTTTTTGGCCTAATGTATGATCTCACATATTGAAGCATAATAAAGTTTCCATTTAAAACATTAATTTTCACTTTCCCTAAATACCTAAATAAATAGGGCCAAACATCCCAGGACTGAAGTAACCAGGTGGGATATTTACAGTAGACACCCAAATGGCTGTCTTGCGATAGAAAACGAAGCTAAACAAATTAGGGGAGGAAATGCTAGTTGATATAAAAATGATCATTCCTCTTCATATTTAAGTGAAGGTTGACTAGGATGTCATATTTATATTTCGACTAAAGCTACAATTAACATTCTTTATGAAAATTGCATCAGCTGATTGAAACCGGCACAGAAATGGTAGAAATTGGAATGTGTTGGTCGGGTTTTAGCAAAGAAACATATTTTTTAGGCCTTCTTTCTTGGCAAATCATCATCGGCCCAAAATCATTTCAAGGACCCATTTAGTCATATTATACATGAGTCCTTCCCTTTGTACGTCGGCGCAGGACCGACGGGCCGATGCTAATTTCGAACACTGCATATTGTTATATTTATGGAGAGGAACTTGTAAGTTGCAAGAACTTGTTTCCAATCCATTTGACTCGTTCAATAAAATATGTTCAAAACAAGAAATTATGCAATAAAAATAAGAAATTATGCAATGCAAATGGAGAACAAGGGCATACATGTATAATACAAAAAGAAACATTATTCATTCAAATGGAAAAGATCAAATATAGCAACTTTTGACATGCTACATTGTGTATGCAGGCTGAATTAATTCTAAAAGACAGTGATGGCGTTCCATACTTGACATTTAGGACAATTGCACGGAAAATGCCGAGTAGTTACGACTGAGTTGCACAAGAAGAAGCTGAGTTCAGAAGGTGAGAAACGTTATATAGATCATTGTTTTTCAAAGTAAAACACTGTGTGCTTTATTCTAGACTGTGTATTCTTAGACTTTTATAAAGATCATGCACTAGGCTATAAACGGAATGAGAAAGAAGCAGTCATAAATAAATCAATGGTTATGGAACGCCTGGACTGTCTCATCATGACAAATTTATAATGTGCATTTTTCTTGGAAATGTATGCATTTAATGTTTTTTACATTTAATTAAATACTTGAATATTTAATGATTTTTTTCTTATAATTATTACGCAAAAATGTCCTATGAAATGTATTTCAGTCTTTTAATTGTCAAATTTACATATACTGTTGTGTGTTTATTTACATAATTCTATAATGTGGTAAATGAATTAAGTGAATAAATAAAAATGCTAAAAATATGCATAAATAAATTATATTAATGATTTAAAATAGTGAGGTCATATAACTGCATATCATATTTGGTTGTATACTGAATATTATGTTGCTCAAATTACCAGTCTTGTAGCTTTTGCATTTATCGTTTTTTGCGTTTCGCGTTTTGAATTTTTTTTTTTCGAAAGTACTAGGTATACCCATCAAACGCATCGAGATAAAAGTAGTTTTTAAAAACGATTTTATAACACTGTATATTTTGGTGTGAAATGCTTTAACAACATAACAGTCATGATATTATATGATATTCTTTCTTTTTTTTTATAATAGAAAACGTGACCTTCAAATCCGTTTCACATTGCCATGGCAAGAGAGTCCATGCAGTCATTCCATAAATGGTGATTTGCCAGTGTATATATAAATTTGAAAAATCAGTTGAACTTCTTTCAGTGATAATTATTAAGAAAAACAAGGATATAATGAATTATGAAGTACATATATCAATTGCGCTAGATTTTAGCAGTTCATGTGCGATCACGGAGGTCAACACAGTACCTGTGACTGTGCATTGAATTACTGAGGAAGAGATCCATTGAACTTATATTCGACGAAATTGAAAAACAACAAGATGACGCATTCGAAATGACAACATTCTTTATCTTAATTACACCTTTGTTGAATTGCGTGGAGAATCTATGCCTATAGTCAATGCTGTTTGTGTATGTTCGTGCATATTCATGTTAATGTTTGAAACTACTGACAGTGATGTAAGTTTTTTTTCTTAGATATATTTGTTTAACTATGGCCAATCAAAACCCAGAGACGCCACCAAAAAAGTATGATATCGGTAAGTTATTTGCTTTATTTCAAATACAAGGTAAAACGTATTAAAAAATGATTGACTTATTATAATATATGAATAAAATTATATATTCCAAAGCGAGTTTAGAGGGTGAAGAAATAATTGAACGGAAAACTCCGAGCGGATACACAGCTAAATACATTAAGTTACATGGACATTGGAAAGCATTGGACCTCGTTGTATCCGGATTCATTCCTGACCCAAGGTCACATGTACCGGAAGTCCGTCAGATGGAAGTATTTGATGATGATGTTTTCATATATGCCTATCCAAAATGTGGTAAAGGAAACTTTCTGATTCATTTTAGCAATCCATTAATCTTAATCTGGTATTAAGACATACCGAATATTTTTCAGTGGTTATGAAAAAAATCACTCAATCAGCTACAGTGACTCTCTCTCTCTCTCTCTCTCTCTCTCTCTCTCTCTCTCTCTCTCTCTCTCTCTCTCTCT